AAAATCAATAGCTGTTTCCATGAGAAAGGTAGCTAAAGAAACTGGAATCACAGCAGTATCACTCGACCACAAGCAAACTTAAAATCAACAGCTGTTTCCATGCGAAAGGTAGCTAAAGAAACTGGAGTCACAGCAATACTATTCTACCACAAGCATACTTCAAAATCAATAGCTGTTTCCATGAGAAAGGTAGCTAAAGAAACTGGAATCACAGCAATACATTCGACCACAAGCATACTTCAAAATCAATAGCTGTTTCCATGAGAAAGGTAGCTAAAGAAACTGGAATCACAGCAGTATCACTTGACCACAAGCATACTTCAAAATCAATAGCTGTTTCCATGAGAAAGGTAGCTAAAGAAACTGAAATCACAGCAATACATTCGACCACAAACATACTTCAAAATCAACAGTTGTTTCCATGAGAAAGGTAGTTAAAGAAACTGGAATCACAGCAATACATTCGACCACAAGCATACTTCAAAATCAACAGTTGTTTCCATGAGAAAGGTAGCTAAAGAAACTGGAATCACAGCAGTATCACTCGACCACGTGCCTGTCAAGTTCCTAGATGCAACTCCATAGAACATTTATCCCTGTAGTCTATTGATACGTAGTCTTAGAAGCCAAAGTTCTTGTACAGTTGGGGGTTTGTGGAACGTTTGTTAAAGTGTGTAGTTTATGATTGACCTCGTCAACTCTCGCAGAAACTATAGCGTAAGCTAAAGGTCGTAGTCACAGACATCATAATGACCACAATCTATAATGGAGGAAGTAGTTCTAAGGACCTGAAACATAATTGTTTGGTGGATAGTTTTCGGAAGCACTTCTTGTATGCTCAAACTATTACGAACATAATAATAAACATTAAATAAAGCATATTAGAATATATATATATATCAATAGTATATAACATATACATAAGCAATTATCCTGTAAAAATAAAACAGACACAAAAATCAAGATCAAAGCTGATTATTCATGTCGCATGAACGGATTAAACTCCGGCTGTTGCTTGTTAATGCATCTCATTTTAAGAAATACCATAGAAACGTACGGCCAAGATATTCGCAACGTGGAAACTTATTTGTTTACTATTGCTATTCAAAAGCAATGCTGGCATAGAACTATCGCGCTATCATAAATATACACATTTATCGCATTATACCCCCTTATTTATAGGCAATCATTTGATACGCTGCTCTCTCAGTATGTGAGTCGTCAAACGAAGTGTTGATAAGTTGAACAAGGTGTCATTCCCATAAAGAAAGCCCCCTCCCAAACAAATAGTGTTCCATTAAGAAAACAAAAACGAACAAACCGTATGCAGTGTGGATATTTGTACGCTTAAGAACAATGGAGTTCATTATAAGTTGAATTTTCATATGCACAAAACGCAGTGTAATACTTTTACAATTAGGAACGAAGTCCAAATCCAAAACAAAGCACTTTTGTGTATTTTGCAAAACGTAATTCTCTTACATGAAGTTGGGACATCCGTTAAGGCTTCGACTTATGTATAATCCTCCTTTTTCAAATAATCAGCATAATTACTCTATACGTTTGAGTCCTAAAAACAAAAAATTATTATTTTACAAGCAAGATTTTTGTAGAAGGGGTATTTTAAGGGCTGAACTTTTGTACGCCCAGAAAGGTGTAACTGTTAAACTCCTAATATTTGAAAAATATATTACCATTTGTAAAGGGCCTTAAAAAGCCTAAAGCATTATTAATGCCGAAAGGTATACTTACAATTTTTTTTTTAAATCTCAAACAATGTTTGAATAAAAGACAATTGAAGCTGTTGGATTGAGATATGTTATTTATTATTTGGTAAAGAGTCCAATATCGTCCAAATAAATAAATAAAAAGCTTTTGAACTTTTCATTGGATTCAGGGACTACAGGGGATCCTAAGGCACATTTTTGAGTGGCTTCAGCCCTAGCAAACCCACCACCGTCGCCCATGATAAATATGTATTTTTGTTGTTGTTTTCTATTAATTTCCATAATACACGCTCAGAGACTTATTATCGGTGTGTGTGTTCCATTGAAATAATTGGTTTCAACAACTCTTATCAGTTCTGGTTGCACCCTTGGCCGCAAGTGGTTTTTCTGGCTTGTTCTTCGGTGGCGTGGTCATTTAACGGTTACGCTATTATGGCATGCGTGAAATAATATTTTTTCTAAGAATAAAATTATTTAAATTTATACAAGCCGGGCAAAGTTCTTGGGTTTCCGGTAAAAATACACTGCGTTAAAGCACAAACAAACGACCTTGACACAACTTCACACCTAAATAACTTCCAATCTCCTTTTGGTGATTTGAAGACGAGAGCGGTTTCTACGCGTCGCCTGACGAGATATTTAGAACGTTTCAGTCATGCCATACTAATCTGCATAAACACATGCACGGTTCACTACAAAAAAAGACTTTGTTTTGGCCAACAATGCAAGTGGCTTTCAGGGAGAAGGGTTACAATTTAAAATAAAAAACTTTATAAAAACATAAATCAATGTTATGTACAAAACAACAACAACAAACAGAGAAAGGAAGCTTAATAGAATCGCGAGGATGATAAGATTGTACGTCTTTTCACACACAATATTATCCTTATATTCATTATTTAAGTATATATTTGTTTGCTAAATTCCCAAATAACTAGCAGAAGTTTGGGCAAATAAGACGATTTTTTTGTATTTGATGTTTTTTGTTTGTGATAACGCAAACGTTTTTATTAAGAAAATCCATGCATTATAGCTGTGTAGCTAGTTGGTTAACAACAGCTAAATAAATACTAGCAAACTGATAAAAGACAGAGAGAGTAAATACTGGAAGACTTTGGCGACGTTTGAAAATTGAGTCTAAACATTACGTAAACAGAATACGTACTGAAAGATTCTAACGACGTGTAAAAATTTGTATAAAATACAGGAGCCCCTTGTTTCAAGTGTTCATATCTTAAAACGACTTTCCCTAGAGTAACAAATTTTCACCAGAAGATGTACATTTAGAATCCTGACTTTTAGAATAGGAGACGTTTATGTACTTAAATTGTTTTTCTCACAAAGTAACGCTGCTTTTTATTTTTCTTCTTTCTCTGTCTCTCTTAAAGTAATCCGAAATGGCTGATTTGAATAAAATACGTGTCAGTGTACATGGTATTGTGGAAATCAGTGACCACGATCCAGAACAGATGATATTTGGGGTAGTTTCATTTTGGGATATACTTGACATGCTGATTGAGAATGAAGCAGAGCAAATCGAATACGTTCTGCGAGAGTTTTTGACACACCCTGTACCAGGTTCATACTTATCTGAATGAAACTTGGGATTCACTCTGACAAATAGTTTTTAAAGATAAAATTTAAATATGTGGCCTTATATGTAATTGCCCTGTCGTTGAAGGTGACGACTCTTCACAATACAGAACCAAAATGTTGAAGGCTCTG